GCGCTGCATCGCGCAGGGCAGGCTGTATCGCACTAGTCTGAAGCGCACCAGCCTCCCTCGCACCCTGGTGGCTGGATGGCGCTATACTGCACTGTATCAGGCTGCTAGCCCCTCTCTGGTCGGGCTGAATCGCACTAAACTCCATCGGGCTGTATTGCACGGGTCTCTTTTGTTCTGTATTGGGCTGTATTGCACTAGCTGCTGTCACCTGGATGGGGCTGCGTGGCGCTAGCTTCTTTCACAGCATGGCACTAAGCACTATTACACCTAAGGGGATGTATCATGTTATCACACCATATCAGGCTGTATTGCACTAGCCTCTTTTGCACCATATCAGGGTGTATTGCACTAGCTGCTGTCACACTGGATAGGGCTGCATGGCGCTAGCCTCTTCCACAGCATATCGAGCTGCATGGCACTAAGCTCTCTTACAGTGTAAGGGGATGTATCATGTTATCACACCGTATCGGGCTGTATCACACTAGTCTCTTCTGCACCATATCGGGCTGTACTGCACTAGCCAGTGTCACACTATATGGCGCTGCTTCATGCTAGCTTCTCCCACGCCCTATCGAGCTGCATGACACTAAGCTCTCTCAAAGCACAACGGGTTGTATCACGTTAGCCTTCATCACACCTTAGGCTGTATTGCGCCAGCCTCGACCACGCTGTGCTTGCATTAGCCTCTCCCACACCATATAGATGGATCTGTATCACACTAGCTTCTGTCACACTGTATTGGGCTGTATCACTTTAGCCATGGAGAGGCTCCCTTCCCAAGGTCTTCACCCAGTCAGGCCACCTCTACGTATCACTGAGTTCAACCTCCTGCCTGAGGCAGGACCAGCTCTATCCAAATCATCCTGTACAATTCAGAATCTCAGCTCTCCATAAGACGACTGTCAGCAATATGGCTTTCACTTACCTTATCTCCTTTCTTCTTGTCTTGCCGGTTTCAGCTTGCCTGGTTTGCCCTCAACATGTGGCTCTTCTTGAGAACCTTCTTGCTGTATTTCCATGGGCCACAGTATTACTACTTGCATCGGATGCTAGGGGTGAGTGACCCAGATGCTGCTTTTTGTCTGGAAAATGGGAGTGCTGGTCTGAGGTGGGGGATTACAGCATATTTTTACTAATAAGGGAAAAATCAGGTGTTTAGTTTCCCTGAAAAGTGGGGATCAGGATAGAAGCTGTTGGCATGTTGTGGACATTCAGTTGAAAGTCAAAACTTGCTAGGGCTGAGAATGAGAAGTGCTATCTCTGTTGCATGAATAAATGTTAAGAGCTAGGCAAGTGTCTGGGAAAACCACCCCCGATTCCCAGCTGTAGGGATGGTGGTAGGATCTGGCTTATAAACATGAGCATCAGTTCAGTGAGCCTCTCATTTTTAGTCTTCATAACTGTAGCCAAGTTTGTGGGTCTGTTTCAATGAGCTCGTTTATGCTGGTTCTCATGATGTATGCTTCTTGAGGGAGTTATTTTATTAGCAGTCTCACTTATTCTTCCTTTCCTGGTTCTTGTGAACTGGGTTAATTCATTGCAGGCCATATAATTTCTGCTTTAATTTCTGGCAGGCTTTTTAAAATTTAGTTAAGATAAAAAGAGTGGCAGTCATGGCAACGGCCAGTTGATTGCAAACTTCACCACTTTGCCCTGGCAATGACCACTAACATAACCTGTAAGATATATATGTATAGTTCCCTTCACAAACTTCCTAACTAGTTGCAGTTATTCTGAATTGTTAACCCTACAGCAGTGATTCTCAGCCAGATGCCATGGCACTCTGAGGCATTGTGGTAATGCTTTTAAGGGTGCTGCATAATATTAACACTGTTAGGTATGCAAATACCTACACATGAGTCACAAAATTAATCCAGACATTTCAAATAGAAATCCATAGTGTCGGAAACAATCTGGCCTGTTTCTGAGGTCTTTGCAACAGAAGAATTGCTCTAGTAGTTTTCTATAGTCAAAAAAGAAAAGGTACGACCTGGCATTTTCTGAGCGGTGCCTTGAGTCTAAAAAAGAGTGCCTAGAGTCCAAAAGGTTGAGAACCATTGGTCTACAGCAGGGGGTAGGCAACCTTTTACAGCTGTAGGCTGGAATGACCCGCCCCAGGCCAGAGGTGGGTGGGGGCACGGACGCTGGGATCTGACTTCTGTTGCCGGCCCTGCTTGCCTTCCTGGCAGTACGGGGAAAGTGTCTGCAACTGGCGCTATTTCTCACGGGGAGGTAGGGAGAGTACCCATAGAAGGCACCTCATGCTACCGAAGCCCCACATCTGTAGGCCAGATCTAGCTTTTGGGTGGTAGGTTGCCAACCTCTGGTCTGGAGGGAATGTTTAAAAGAATAAAATGTTAGGAATTACTCAAAGTTGTTTTGTTAAATTTGAGGAAAGAGGCTGGATGAACTGTGTCAGGAATACTAGTTAGCAACTACTCACTGAATCAGGAAAACAAAAAGTATACATAGGCTAAAGCCCCAGACACTACGGTGAAACCCAACCCTTTGCAGATATTAACTGGTGATGTGTGTGGGATGGACCCAGTGTTTCTCCTTTATTCATGTATCTGTTTTAATACCTTTTGCATAGCTTGTTAGTCCCATAATATTTTTTTTGAACTGAGTTGGAAGTGAGTTGACCTAACACAATTGCTTCACTTGCATTGACATTGTAGGTTTGGAGTGTTGTTGTTGTTGTGATGATCCAGGAAATATGGGAGGCAATGATTTTCTCTGATATCTTTTATTGAACTGACTGTATTTGTTGGGAGACCTGTTGGACAAGCTTTTGGGCATCAGGTGTTCTTCCGCAGGTCTAAAAAAGAGGTAGATTCAGGCTGAGCACATGTTGTCACATCAGGCTCAGAGACAGGCAAGCGTATGTGTGTCTGTCTGTCTGTCTGTCTGTCTGTCTGTCTATCTATCTATTAGAATATATATATTTTGAAGAAAAAAGTGACAATATTACCCCAAACTCTAACAGTTTTGCAGTCTGGTGTATCCTTTTACACAGTTTTCTGTTCTTGAGATGTTCTGTCTCAGTGAGCTTCTCATTAGGATTTGGTCTTTATTGGGATAGCATTCTGGCCAGATTTTTTTGACTTAGTGAACATGTCTACACATGCAATTAACACGCAGGAAGCTTACTGTATAATACAATACTGTGCAGTAAGCTTTCCCTGAGAGCACGTCTACACATGTCTATCAGGAGCAAATTTGTGCCCAATGGGAACAGTTCAGGGCAAGGCTACTCCTATGCTGCTTTGCTTCCATATGGCAGTGAGGGGGAGCTCCAGGCTCCCCTGGATGCCAGCATCAGGCAGGCAAGGGGCACCAGGGTCAGGCCTGGGGTCCAGGGTCAAGGGAGAGCTGTCCTACCTCCGGGGCAGCTGCCTTCCACCCCTCACCCCTGCCCCAGGCAGCTTCCTGCTGCCCAATCCCTGCTCCAAAATTGGAGCCAGGGCTCGGACATTGTTCTCTGCCGCAGGCGGCTGCCTGCTGCTGGGGCTGGCTCCAGTCTCAGAGCTCTGTTCTCAGAGCTGGCCCTGGCAGCAGGCAGCTGCCCGGGTCAGAGGACAATGTCCTAGTCCCAGCTCCGATCTTGGAGCTGGAGCCCAGCAAGCTGTCTGCTGCAGGGGCATGGGATGTTGTCCCAGCCCCCTCTTTGATCAGCTGAGGGG